TATAAAGATAATAATTAAGTATTATGTTAGAACTCAATGATAATCCTAATTATATTTTAGATTTTTTTATATTTAAAATGAGATGTTTATCATGTATTTGATTATGTTTATCTGCAGTTAGTTACACGAATTCAGATATAGAGCTTTAATAAGTTGTACTTACGCACAATCTACTTGCAATATTGAGTTTTAAGTATTATACATTAATAAACAGTATTTTACGCATAAAAAGTGGTTTTTAATAGTTTTTGTCAAATGCTTTATAATATGGTGTATATATATATAGGGTTGGGTACGTGAGACCAAGGGTTTTTCCTGAGACCCGTAAGATCAATTTATGTTCATTGATCAACTTTATAAGCTAATGATCTAATGGTCTAAAGTTGCACGATGACATTTTTGTGATTATTGAGAAGTGTCGTATTGTAGATCTAATCTGAGGGTTGAGAATTGGTCTTACGGGTCTCATGAAAAACCTTTGGTCTCACATGATCCCAAGTCTATATATATATATATATATATATATATATATATATATAGGTTAAGGTCCACAAACCTGTAAAAAATGAAAAACTAAGGAACACCCTATTAACCGTTCATCTGGACGGTACGCACATGTGCGTACAAGTAATTTGGAAGCAATTTTTCCGGTATGCACATGTGCATAATATGCACACATGCATAAAACCAAAAAAACAACTTCAATTACTTGTATGGATATGTTCATATCGTCCAGATGAAATGTTACAAGAGTGTTCTTAGGGTTTTTCCTTGAGCCTCCCCCCCTTCTCTCTCTCTCTGTCTATATATATATATATATATATGTGTGTGTGTGTGTGTGTGTGTGTGTTTGTGTGTGTTAATGATCGTATGAAAAGTAGAGTTAATTAAAGCGAGAAGTGTAAAAAATAATTTTGACCCTTATCACCTTCAATCTCAAACCCATCATGAATCGTGATTGATACGGGGATTGATCATGTACTCTTGATGCATCTCTTACTAATGTGCATCTAAGGATGGAGATACCGTCTTATGCTTCTCACACAATTCTCGCGAGAACCCAACCCTAAGATCACTTCTTTACTTCTCAAATATTACCACTTCTCAAATATTATCACTTCTCAAAATAATCTATGGATATATATATATATATATATATATATATAAAGGCGAATGATCGTGTGAGTACGAGAGTTAATTAAAGTAAGAAGCATAAGATGGAATCTCGATCCTTGATCACCTTCAATCTCAAACCCATATATGAATCGTGATTAATATGGGGTGTGTGTATATATACACACACACGTAGGGTGCATATTTTAATTCTTGAAGCTCCTTCAATTCCTCTATAAATACCCCCAATAGTCTCTACTACTTTTAGTCAACTCGTAACCACCTTTCTTGATTCCACTTCCTCATTACGTACTAAAAAATGCCAAAAAATCCCTTTGGATTCCTAACTATCCTCTTTCTTCTTGCTATCTTGGGTCTTCTCTCCATCTCCATCTTTTACTTTTCATTTCTCAATGTTTTTCTTCAATTATAATAATTTAACAATGAATCATCATTACATGTATATATATAGGATTGAGTTCTAAACACACCACAAAATAACACTGAAATATCACAACATAACATTATAAAGGTACAAAAAATATCGAACATTAATTCACAACAAAAATACTGTGAAGGTTTACATTCACAATGTTTTTGCTATGAAAGTTCATTGTTGTATTTGTGGTATTGCGGTTCTCACGAAAACAATATGCTCTCGTATGATCCAACTCTCTCTCTCTCTCTCTCTATATATATAAGTGTATATATATATATATATAAGTATATATATATATATGTGTGTGTGTGTGTATGTAGGCAGGTTCAGTGCAAACGAGTTTTTTAGGTTATGAACTAAACTGTGAGATAAAGGAGAGCGCGGCACTTGTCTCATACATTCACAGGTTATTCATCATGAATAGTTTATTAACTTATTATGGATCATGAATGGTGTTCATGAATGTTCATCTTCATTATTCATAATTAAGGTGGACATCTGGTGATCAACACATGTCGTGCTCTTATTTGTCCCCTAATTCATAACCTACAACTTTTATATTTCTCTCTTTCTCTCTCTCTCTCTCTCTCTCTCTATATATATATATATATATATATAGGCGAAGAATCGTTTGAAAAAAAAAGTTAAAGTGAGGAGCATAATAAGAGATCTGCACCTTTGATCAACTTTAATCTCAAACTCACCCATGAATCGCGTTTGATACAAGGATTGATCTGGTGCATCTCGGTGCATTTCATCGTAATGTGCATACAAGGATGAAGATCTCTTATGTTTTTCATCTTAACCCTCTTTCTTATTGAAACTCAACCCTATATATTTGTCTGTAGGGGGATGAGCGATATGATGTTATTCATGTTCACGAATCTTAAAAAGTGTAGTTCTTTGACCGCAAAATATTAATGGCTTCCTAAATTATTCACTCCCCGAAACATGCCGTCATTAGTTTATACAAAAAATAAAATTTTAGTTTAATTTATTATTATTTTATTTTTTTTGCAAAATTAGGTTTCCTAGTGGTGTTTTATAGTTTTAACATTTTTATATTAGAAATTGGTTTATTGCAAGTAAAAATATTATGTTAAGAATGATTTTTCTCGTTTCTCCTTATTATTACTTATCAATTAAATAAATGAGGGTTATACTAAACTAACACACACACACACACATATATATATATATATATATAACTCAATTATACATATGACAAATTAATAAATATTTTATGTCTCGTGGTCTTAAATATTTATAATTAAATAGGTTTGCTTTAATTTAATTTCATGTTTAATTATGATGTGAATAGAAATAACGATCGTAAACGGAGATATATGTGAAAAGCCAAGCAAAACATGGTTTGGAAAATGCGTTGACACACGTAAGTGCGACAAACAGTGCATAGAATGGGAGGATGCAAATCATGGAGCTTGTCACGAACGTGAATCAAAATACATGTGCTATTGTTATTATGACTGTCGACCAAGAGGTAAGAAGAAGCCTCCTCCTCCGCCAAAAGGACAACAACCGGCTCCTTCTCCACCTAAAGACGGGAAACCGACGCCTCCTGGAGGTGGTCAACCGGCTCCACCAGAAGGAGGGAAACCGACACCTCCCGGAGGGGGGCAACCGTCTCCTTCTCCACCCGAAGGCGGGCAACCAACTCCTCCTCCAGAAGGAGGGAAACCGACACCTCCTGGAGGAGGTAAACCAGCTCCTTCACCACCCGAAGGTGGGCAACCCACACCTCCTGAAGGCGGTCAACCAGCTCCTTCTCCACCAGAAGGAGGGAAACCAACACCTCCTGAAGGCGGTCAACCGGCTCCTTCTCCACCCAAAGGTGGGCAACCAGCTCCTTCTCCACCAGAAGGAGGGAAACCAACACCTCCCGAAGGCGGTCAACCGGCTCCTTCACCACCCGAAGGTGGGCAA